CTTTTGGGGACAATTTTTTTAATGACCTACCAAACTTCATATCTCAGAAACTAAAAGCTTTTCAGCAGTCGCTTTTGGACGCAAAATGTGCATTTTATAACTCCTGAGAGTACCTTCACATAACATAACTAGAAGGTTGGGAATTTCAAATCGTTCGAATTTTTCAAAATCTAGATTTTCTGAAAACTTGAAAATAAATCATAAAACACGTCATGTCTCAAAAATTACGGATTTGAGCAGTCAAATTCGGAGGCAAAATTCGGAATCCCGGGGAGTACCCTGACGGAGCCTCACTATAGAGATGAGAAATTCAAATTTATGAAAGTTTTTAAATTGGAACATTTAAAAAAAATGACCTAAATAACGTCACATCTCGGAAAATAAGAGCATTTGAGCTGTCGCATTTAGATACAAAATTTGCAAATTATAACTGCTCAGAGTACCCTCACATAACCTAACTACAAGATTGGGAATTTCAATCGTTTGAAATTTTCAAAATCTAAGTTTTTTGAAAATTGGTAAAGAAATCACAAAACCCGCCATATCTCAATAATTACAGATTTGAGCAGTCTAATTTGGAGGCAAAATTCGCATTCCCTGGGAGTAACCTGACGGAGCCTCACTATTGAGATCAGAAGTTCAAATTCATAAAAAATTTTAAGATGGAACATTAAAAAAAATGCCATAACAAACGTCACATCTCAGAAAATAAGAGCATCTGAGCAGTCGCATTTGAACGCAAAATTTGCAACTTAGAGCTGCTGAAAGTAGCCTCACAGATCTCAAGTACAAGGCTAGGAATTACCCAATACCTAATTACAGCAATAGAAATTTCAAATTCTTAGAAACTTTCAAATTTACGTTTTCTAAAATTTTTTTTTTGAAAAAACCATAAAAAACATCATTTCTCAAAACCTGCAAAAACTTGATGAGTAAAAGTTGGAAATAAGATTCACAACCCCTGAGACTACTATAGCAGCCCCCAATTACAGGGTTAGGAATTTCAAATTTTAAAAAACTTTCATTTAGTTTTCTGAAAATTTTTTGAAAAAAAAATGTCATTTCTCGAACACTAAAAAGATTTGAGCAGTCTCAGTTGGCGGCAAAATTTGCAACCACTGGGAGTCCCCTTACAAAGCCTCACTATAGAGATGAGAACTTTAACTTTTGTGAAACTTTTTATATCTGAGTACTTTGAACATTTTTTTTCAAATGACCTAAAAAACGTCACCTATTGGAAACTAAGAGTATTTGAACAGTCGCTTTTAGGCGCAAAATTTGCAACTTAGAACTCCTGAAAGTACCCTCACAGAGCCCAACTACAACGATGGGAGAAGCAAATCTTATGAATTTTTCAAAACATAAGTTTTCTGAATACTAAAAAAAGAAATCATAAAACACGTCAAATCTCGAAAACAACAAGGTCAAAGTTGGAGGCGAAACTCGCAAAATCTGGTAGTACCCTGACAAATTTTCACTAAAGAGATGAGAACTTCAAACTTTGTGAAATTTTTTATCTTTAAGTTCTTTGAACATTAAAAAAATGACCTAACAAACGTCACATCTCGAAAACTAAGAGCATTTAAGCATTCGCATTTTGACGCTAAACTTGCAAATTACAACTCCTGAGAGTACCCTCACAGAGCCCAACTACAAGGTTGGGAATTTCAAATCCCTTGATTTTGTTTAAAATATAAAGTTTCTGAAAATTTGAAAATAAATCATAAAACACGTCATATCTCGAAAATTACAAGGGTTTCAGCAGTCATATTTGGAGGCAAGAATCGCAATTCTTTGAGAGTACTGACTGCACCCCACTAACGGGTTGGAAAATTAAAAGTTTGTGAATTACTTTAATTTGATTTTTCTGAAAATCAAAAAATCTCGTGAACTTAAAGGGTTAGGGCATTCATATATGACAGCCCTGACAGCGTCCCACTATTGGGTTGCCGATTTTAAACTCGGTGAAATATACACTGAATTGAAAAAAAACATATCCATTGCAATATGCGATATAGCTTAAGCGTACGAGAATTGTTTTGTTAAACATGCACAAACAATACGTTGAAAAAAGCTTAAGCATGGCGAGGTAGTGTAGCCCGCATTTAAATATATAAATTTAAAAAAAAAACTTGATACAACAGTCTTCTAGTAAATTGCGCGGCTGTAATTTTAGTTTCCATTTTTTCCCATTCCGGCTCGGATGGTTTGAGTTTTAGCTTTTCAAAGTTCCAACTGTGTACTGGCTTTGTTCATTAAATGTCAATTGGCTGTTTGGATGTCTCAAACTCGATTCGGTAGACAAGTCAAAACCCTTTGATGCGTTCTGATATCAAAGCCATTGAGGGCCGATTAAGACAGGTTTTATTAGCAAATGATTAAGGAGGCGTTAATGATAATTTTGTTTTTTATGTACTCACTGAGCTTGAAAGCGTGTCTCTCTACAGAGAACACGTTCTAACCGTAAAGAAGACGGTGTCCTATCTGAGGCTATAGTATATGCAAATGCATGATGGCCAAGGGATAAAATAGATTGGTGTCTAATTGATTTCTCCATGGCCTGTGTGAACACTGGAATCGATGACGAGCCGGGAATTCAATTTCCGAACTGAAGATGAGCCAAACGGAGGGGAAATTGACGGCAAAAATGAAAATGAACTGCCCTGTCTTATTTAACAAGCCTTAATCCGCCAGAATTTGGTTTTCAAATTGAAAAGGAAGATACTGCGGCGGTATGAAGTTTCTGAACTTAAGGTTGCAAATTTTTTAAAAAGGTATGAAACTCATATAGAAAATCAATTAAATTTTACTAAATTAAGGAGAGAGAAGCCTTGAAGGAAGTTCTGTGCCGATGCCGGCAAATTATGTGCATGAAGCGTTACCACAGCCAAGGGTTCTAATATTGTTGTTTTGAGAATTATCAGCAAGTTGAATGTGCATCTATGATGCAAACTCTCGAAAAACTGGTTGAAGTTGTTGAGAAATACGACAGGAATGTCACAAAGGGTGCCGGACATCAAGCCGACGGGACTTCAAGCCGAAACGTATAATGAGGGACTTCAAGCCGAACATTTTGTCAAAAACTTGAGAAATATGATTAGTTTGAAAACTGTTTCGAAAAATTTCTCAATTTCATCGGCTTGCATAACAAATTATTGGCTTTTTCATAATTTTTGCGCCTCTAATTGATGTTTAGGAAAATTAAAAATTATAACATAGTTAATGGGCTTTTTCATGTGTATAATTTATGCATTTCAAAATCCGGCTGATCTAAAAATCTTATGCCCCTCTTAAAAGGTGCGTTGTTATTAAGAACGCTTATGGTGAACTATACTTGCCTAATTTTTGAAAAATAACCTTTTTATTGATAAAAAATTAGTGTTTTTAGGTGCTTCTAATGTTTAAATTTCGGCTTGAAGTCCCTTCGGCTTCAAGTCCCGTCGGCTTGTTGTCCTAGACCCTGTCACAAAATGTTCAATAGACATGTAGATGAAACAATTCATATTCAAAAATCGATGCAAATTTTAGTCTCATGCACTAACCATTCAACCACGGATGCCTAAAAAACCCAAAAACTAACCACCAATAATGCAGCTACATATAAAAATTGAAGTAATTACAAGAGCCTGTTAGGTTAAAAGATGCTTAAAACGTTGCTGATTAGACTGTGGTGGGTAGTTTTCGAGAAAAGTCAATAAGTTTCAAAAAACAGTCTAATATTCGACTTTTCTGAAAGTCATAAACTTTTGGTTAAAAAAAATGGGGCTTAATCGCTTATGCAGAAGAAATTCCCACAACCTTTTCTACCTATTGAAAAAAAAATCTCAGATTTGGGAGGGTACTTTTCGAGAAAAGTCAAAAAGTTCGAAAAAACGGTCAAAAATCGAAAATTTGACTTTCAAGGGTCATATTTTTTTTGTAAAACAATTTAGTCGTAATTGTTTATGTAGCGGAGTTTCTCACAACCCATTCTACTCATTGAAACCAAAACCTGAGACTTGAGAGGGTAGTTTTTGAGAAAATCAAAAAATTTCAAAAAACGGTCAAAAAATCGTAAATTTGACTTTTCTGAATCATAACTTTTTGTGAGAAAAAAATTGAGCGTAACCGCTAATGCAGGGGAGCTACCCACAAACCGTCCGTTCGATTGAAACTAAAACCCTCAGATTTTGGAGGATACTTTTTAAGAAAAGTCAAAAAAACTTGAAAAAACGGTTAAAAAACCAAAAAGTCGACTTTCTGAGGGCCATAATTTGTTGTGTAAAAAAAATTTGGGCGTAGCCGCTTATGTCCACAACCTGTTATATCCGTTCAAGCCAAAACCTGAGATTTGGACGAGTAGTTTTCGAGGGAAATGCGAAAAACCCAAAAATTTGGTCAAAAGTTCACCCCACACACATTTTCGAAGGCTGTAGAAAATGGGGTAAGGTAAAAAGAGACTAGGTTAGTATGCAGGCACACAGGAGAGTAGGCGGATTTCCCATAGGTACCACTCTTTCAAAATCGGAGCAGTAGTTTTTGAGAAAAACAAAAATTTTCCAAAGCGTCTAAAAAAAATTAAAAAAAACCCGATCCCAATAACATTTTCATAATACCTGTTTTTAAATATCTTTTTGCCAATTCAATACAGCAAACTCGACGCAGCAAATCTTGCTGCTTTAAGTCGCAACAATAAATTGCGACTTAGTCGCAACAAAAGTGGCAACAATATTTGCGACTTAGGTTGAAAAAAAAAGTTCGTACTATAACACATTGCTTCGCAAGTGTAAACAGTTTGTTTTATGACAGATTCAGAAGATACTTGCTAGTGAAGATCAATCTCAGAGACCGCATGTTTTTCAGTTCGAATGTATGGCAGTAAAAATCATGCGAAACAGTCATGATACAACTCGAGCGGGTGAAGATGGCCAATGACCCTTATGTATAAGAAAATCAAATATTTTGAAATGCATCACCCAGTGAAACATGATACACAGCAAATAATTTTCAATAAATTGGGTTTCATTATCCTGTTTCTGGAAACTTGTTTGGTTTTGTGGTCGAAACGTTTTTTTTTTAAATTAAATACAAATCAATTTAATGAGTTTATGAGTAAAACAGGTAAGCCAGCGGGTATCTGATGACAAAAGCTACACATGAACAAGTAACTTGGAGGACCAGAATAACTATACATAGTTTGTCTTCTCTCATCGGGCCACTATGTATAAGCACAAGGTTATTCAAGGTCATATTGTTGCACGTCATCCATTTCTCTCCGTCTACTGTTGACTCCTTGACTTTCAGAAGTCTACAGGTCTAAATGAACAAGTAAAATTAACAATGACCATTTCTTAACACAGAGGCGAAGCTGTACTTCGCATACACAAGCAAAAATATGACCGATAACGCTACTGGGAAAAACTGAACGAGTAAAACTTTGAGTCTTCGAAATTTCTTAAGTGACGCACGCCAATTATGACGCATTAGCAGTACCAGTCAATTTGAAAAAAAATTACCAACTAACAAGTCTCAGTTTATAGAGCAGTCTACGGAGCAGTAATAACATGAAAAAAATAAATGTATTGAAAATAAAATGAAATTTTTTTTAATTTGAGATTTTTGTGAAAATCATCCCCCACACGCCTTATTAAGTACAAAGTGATCGATTTCGCTCCTAGTAACAAATCAATTATGGCAAACAAGCTTCCTTCAACCAATTTGGAACGGTTTCTAATACGGATTAGATCTCCGCTTTCGCGTTACTAGCGCGAAATTTATCGCGCGTTAATTGCCCCAAAATGGCCAAAACGGCAATTTTTAAACCCCATAACTTTACGAAAAATGATCACAGATGATACATTTTTCCAAATTAAAGCTCAGGAAAAGAATACTTTTGAATGATATAAAAAAAATCCCGTCAAAAATGGCTAGTAATTTGTCTGAAGAAAAAAAACCACCCGAGCACAAATATTCCGTTACTTTCGTCACGAAAGTAGGAACAATAATAGTCTGTGTTAAAATCCTTAGCATTGGCTAAATTTAATAGTTGGTTATTGATCAAAATGAACACTTTCAAAATAAACACATTTTATCGCAACAATATTTGCGTCGCAACAATAGTTGCGACTTAGGTTGGACAAAGAAGATAGTTCATACTTTATGTGGTACGGCACAGCTTACCGTGTTTAGCTGTAGCTGATTTATGTCATTGAGTTTAGCTTTAATGATTCATTTGTAATGTCAAGGTCGGGACTGGTATCCCGAGATTGACACTTGAATATGAGAAATGTGTTCACTCTGCCTGATGCGTGTTGAAAGATTACAGCATAGATTGTCGAGTTGTATTTTATCTACCAGATGTTAATCATAGTCTTTTAACAATTCCTATTCCTAGTTAGTCAATTAGCTTAGATATATTCAGACATATCACATGGCGCAGCCAGCAGTTACGAATCACGATGACCAACATCCGACCCACCTATATCATGGGAAACTTTGATTGGGCATTTTTTTCTTGCCATTACTTTGAGGGAGCATTGTGACCCCAATGTCCTCCGACAACCACCGGATGAAGTTTTCGATGACCCACCAAAACCAGAAAGGGCAGGTGAATCCGAATCAACCACGGATATCGTAAATCGGGAAAAGAGAAACCAAGCTGAAATACGGAAAACAAATGAACAGAACGCGGAAAGACGTAGGAAAATACCAAAAATCGGTCCCAATATATTTCTAAGAAGCTGATCAGTGAGTTAAACCGCGTCTCTTTTTCTCCCTAGGATCTGAAGGTACGAAGCGTTTTTTAAACAAAACTACTCACAAAGATTTAGCCAAAACCAGCTTTCAAATCTTCTACGAGCAATATGAACTACTTTTCAAGAAGGAGAAGAAATATATAGTTGAAAGGATGCACCTATACAACAGCACTCAATCCGAAAAAGGCCTCGAATCATATTACCTACGCTTATCGGGCCAAGCAGCCCAGTGCGGATGGTCAGTTGCGACCGAGAAAGAAGTGGTAAGAGACCTTTTTATTGGAAAAATGCGTCTCAAGGACATCCAAAGAGAACTATGCATTCGCCCCAGAAATTCCTCTGAAGAAACGCTGAAATCAACCCTGCTCCAGGGAAAGGGCTACGTGACCACATCAATTCTTCAGATACAAATGGGCTCAAATTCTTCATCTTCGAACTTTCCTTTTAAAAGAGGAACGACGAACAAAATCGTATGTCTAGAGCTCAAAATAGCAATCGAAAAAAAAATCCCGGCAATCTACCAAAATCAAACGCTGTTATTTTTGCGGAAAGGAATTTTCTCAAAACCAAATGGCATTATGTCCCTCGAAAAACTTTATTTGCAAATCGTGCGGTAAAAAAAGGCCACTTTACTAAAGTAACGTGGCCTCTTTGCAATTCCAAAGGTAACGTTGACAATGAAAGTGAAGGTTCTGAGTCAACAGCAGAAGAGGACTGCAATTTTATAACATCGGATAGCGAATCCGAATTCAGTATCTTGATGATCTCGGAGTCGGTCGGAACCGACAATCGTATCCAATCTCAGCCGATTCTCCTATCCAATCTCAGCCGATCGACCACCCTATCCCGCAAACAACCCTTGTTAAACCGCATTCAGTAAAGAAGATAAGTTATTAACACAGCCACGGGTAAGATCAAGTGCCTTCAAATTACCTTAAGACTTTTAAAGCGACTATCGACAGCCCTGCTTCCTTTATCAATAAAGTGACAGCAGATATTTACCTCAAATCGGGAAAAAATGCAAAATTGATACCCACCTCAGAAGTGCCCATCAATACACTCTACGTGGATTAAAACCGGAAACCTATCGTTCTTCATGGCACTCTTATCAAAGACATTTCCTCATTGGGTTGGTCAGTAAAGAGCGCAAAACTCATGGTTACGGAAAACCGAACAAGGTGCCTCCTGGAATTAAACCTACAACCTTCATAGGGAGCTCAAACAACTCAACTCCGACCTGAGTCAGTATCTAACATTTCTGACGATTTGGAATCTCAGGAATCGAACTTCTGGAGAAAATACGCACACGAGAAAATACAGCGAGATATTTTCCCGCTTAGGCAGATCCAAGAATCACAGAGTACATTCGGTTTTCAAGGACCCCTAAGACCAACTCAAGAAAATGGTCGACTTGTGCCGATTCATATCCATCAGAAGGTAGGCGATGAAATTATTAAACTGATGAAGGAAGGTCACATCGTTAAACTCAGTAAAGGTACGCGCGATCACTTTGTAGCATCAGTGGTAATCACAGCCAACAAAGTTGGCATTGTGAAATTAGCCATGGACGCAGAGCCCATGAACGCTCAGATTTTTAAGAACCAGTATCAAATATCTTAGCGCCCTTTTATTGGACATAGCGCCCTTACCCATTAATTCAGAAACCCGGCAAGGTCTGGTTCACATCTTTAGATATCAAATCTCCTATTAGCCAACTTCAACTCAGTCACCTTGTCAGTAGCCATTACAATTTTAATGTAGTTTGCGGCGAATTTACAGGAACCTATCGCTTTAAAACCGGATTTTATGGGCTTACTGATATGCCGAAAGAACTTCAAAAGGCTATGAACAACACGATCCAGAACATTCGGGGTGTGATATGTTTTCTAGATGATATTTTAATTGCCTTAAAGGGCTCGATATCAGCATAATTCGACGGTCGATTACGTCCTGTCGAAACTTGAGAAGGAAGGTGTTGCCCCTAAACTGTCGAAATGCGTAGTTTCCGTACAGAAAAAATCATGGTTGGATTTCGATATTGACGATGTAGGCTACAAACCTAAACTCTCTAAAAAGCAAGCAGTTCTTGATTTGAAGGCACCTAGAACTCTAAAACAGTTAGGGTCCTTCATGGGAGCATTAAACCACTTGCAAAAATTCCTCCCAAATCTTCAGAGATATACAGATCAATTTCGATCATCTGAGAATAAACTAAAATTTATTTGGGGCCCTGAACAACAATCAGCTTGTGGAGATACACTGAGGCTAATATCTGGGACTACTAAAGTACCACTATGACCCAAAAAGGAAGTCACGAGTCAAGTGCGACGCCAGCCATGGCGGATTGGGTGCCGCTCTCGAGCAGGAACTCAAAGATGGATCCTGGGTACCTATATCTTTTGCCTCCATATTTTAAATGGGCAAGAAATCAAATATAATACTAACGAGCTCGACTTTTTAGTAATTGCATGGTTGGCGAACATTTTGGAAATTATCTGTTAGGCAATCAATTTGAGATCTAAACCGACCATAAAGCCATTATATCGGCTCTTAAAACCAACCGTGGAAACAAGACTTATCAGTCGAGACCCACTAGATGGGCCGACACAATTCCACCATTCGAATTTTAGCGTAAATCATATTGCAGGCTCCAAACTTGGAATTGTGGATTACTTCCGAAGCCCCCCAACCTATTTAAGACGAGTATTTCGTGGCTAAATAATATATCGAGAAATTTTTTGAAGCCTGCGATACGATAGTTCAATTAGCATCATTCGAACGATGCTCCAAACCGATTAAAATAAGCGATGATCACCATCAAGTAAATATTATTAGTCCATCATCACATATCCTTCGAGTGAACCCACCCAATGATTCCTGTATAATTGATTCACATTCTTATTCTCAATTTACTGGAGAGAACTAATTTGAATTCATTAAATCGCAGCACTCAAATTTTAACCAGTCAGATTTGTCGAATTTTACTGGCTATTATCCGCAAGAGGGCGCGTTATTCTCATCCTTTCCTTTTAACCAATCATATTCGAGTGTACATTTATGTAAATATCAGCAAGAGGGCGTCGGAATTTCTGCCAGTAATTTTATGGAAAATTATACGAAAGAGGTTGATCGAATTTCAACCAAAATTCTGAACCAACTAAATTGCGGCATTCATTTAGCATCAATCCTCAAGAGGGCGTTAAAATCTCAATTTTCAGTCTTAACCAATCAGATTTTAGTTATATTCGGTCAACATCTCCACTAGAGAGCGTCAAATTATGCACCGCGTTTTTCGTCGAACCAGATTGTTTTATGCAAATTTGGGATAATAAATACTCATCTAAGAATTTACTCATCACTTTCTACCGGGATATCTTACACATTATATACAAACTCAAACCCATCCCTTCATATCAATCTTGTAAAGATCTCAGTGGACCTGAACACGTCCTTGTAAACAATCAACTCTACTTCTTTTCAGAAGTAATGTCTGCTCGAAGAGCAAATTTGACCTCCCACAGTGATGAAAGTTTCGAGCGCTTACTAAATGAAGTTGCTCCCTTTTCCGTTCTAGTTCTCGGTCGATCCAGATCCCAGGTGCGGGTATCATCATCAAGACGCCCAAAAAGAATACCAATAAAGACAAAAGTGGTCTCTCTACGCCAGAAGTGCGATAGCTCTAGCCACACAACGTTAAGTCTGTCATATCGGAGGGCAGGAAAAAATTCCCGGGTTTGACAGGAATCCCAAATCTAGATGTCCTAGCCGAACTTACCTCTGGAGACCCTACGCTTACACTCATGAGACGAGCGAAAGATTAAGAAGGATTTGCAGAATCGATCCCTGCATCAAAACCTTCTGGAATTCTACTGCGTTCATTGACGGATGTATCGTGATCGACAACCGAACTGCAATCCCTCAATGCCTCTAACGTGCAGTTTTGGCCAGACTTCACAGAGCTCACCCTTGGTAAAAATTTAAAGCCTTCTGGCAGATTTAACGCTTTCAAAACCTCTAACTGATCTAACCTTAGCAAATGAAGAACTACAGTTGGATCATGCCGGCCAATTATCAGACGGAAAAGGAATTTTGGTGTATAGCTTGATCGCAACCGACCGATTTTCAAAACATCCTATGATCACGTTGACCCGTACCATAGGCGCACAGAAAACCATCAAATTTCTCTCTGGTTATATCGATATCAATTCGACCCCAGAAACTATTAGAACTGACCAATAATCGGGTTTTAAAAATAAATGAGTATCAAAATTTTGCTCCGAAAATGGCATCAAACGTATTTTCAGCCCGGTAGATGACCACAAAGATTGAGGTTTGGTAGAAAGATCTATTCAGACCTGCAAACGTAGAGGGGGCGCAATGCAATTAGAGGATAACCCACCAGATATTCAGGACGCCCTCAAATCGATCATTGATGATATCAGATCAAATAAAAATTCAGTGATTAATATGTCACCTTTTGAACGACATTTCGGCAGAAAACCGAATACACTTTGGTCTTAAACTGTAGATAATCTTAAATTGAAAACTGATTCAGACAAGGAGCACTTGGTCAGAGATGTCCTTACCGCAGAGGAACGCCGCGATCCTTACGATAGCACAAGGAGGAGAATTCGTGCACAAGGAGGGGAATAGCAGAGACGTGAGCCCCCAGTTCAAAATGAAATCGTCATCTATAGCCAGTAACACAGTACATGGCCTTGGAATCTCTTGCCAAATCTGCCAGGGAATGGATGGTCCACAAAAAGTCAATGTTTAAAGATGAGTCAGCCTTAGCCCAGAAAAAACTGTCAAATAGGAATGCAATATTAGCTGCATATTTGAGGAATAACTTGACTTCTGGGATCCTTCGCTTCCGGTCGCCTCCGAGCAATAGACCCTCTGTGAAAATCAAAAGTTAATTGGAAGATATTCTTTTACCGGAACCCAATCGGGTCGCAGTTTTCAGGATAATTTAAAATCGTAAATCCGGAAAGCCTGTATACAAAAGATTTTTGGACATAATATCTAAGATCACTAACAACACATTTATCACATCGAAAGTGAAAGTTATTCGGAAGAACCATATCTATTAGATTGAGGTCGGTTAATTTTTCTAGAGTTTTCGGCAAACAGTCTTCCAAGTCAGCAGCGGGCTAAAAGACCTCTATCAAAAGGACCTATCAACCGCCGACTTCTTCGTCCTCAGATGATGACCTACTCCTGTCGCCAAACTCGCCCTCGAAACGGAATTTGTTAGCAAACTATAAATCTTTGCTTTTAAAAATTTTCCAGACCGACCCACTTTCTTCAACCGACCAGCTCAAAGCTACGCAGGATTGAACCCAAACCTGCACCACAGACTTCGGACGCTCCAAGTCTCTCCCCGGACAAAGCAGCCCAATTGGTAGATTTGACGGTTTCTTCAAGCTCACGAGGGGTGATTCCACCCCCGGTTGTAACATCCTCGCCGGTCTAGAAGAACGTGGTAATGTCTCCTAAAAAAGAAAAGGCGCCCGAACCAGCTGAGCCTACCAAGATATCAGACGATCTCATCCCGATTTCTTCCGAACACGAAACCCAACCAAGCTCACACTCGAAACTCTCTGATTGCCCGATTTCGATGAAGAAAGCTGGAGAATGCCACGTCCAAAACCCATCGACCTCCGCCTCAGATCACGCCAGCTCGCCAGACAAGCCGCCAGTCCAGCCTTAAGACGACAACGCCAGTCCAGCCTAAAAACGACCAAGACGACAGTGACGTCGAGGTCATCTGGACGAAACGAGCGCCCGACCCAGTTCTTCGGCGGCCCAGTCAGGCATGCGATCAAAACCGTTGAGGAAACGACCCCTAAGAGATCTTCCCTGGAAGATTCGGTCCCTATTTCGGGAAGGCGAATGAGATACCTCACCAGTATCCAGGAGGAAAAATACACCAAAACTCTGACTGTAAAACTCAATTTGTTGCTGTGAAAATCTTGTTGCCAAACATCTCCGAAAATTACTTTTTTGTGGGGGATAAGTGTGGTAGGGCACAGCGTACCGTGTTTAGCTGTAGCTGTATTATGTCTAGCTTTGTTGATTTAATTGTATGTGTCAAGGTTGACATTTGTGTTCACTCTACCTGATGTAACGGAATATTGTGTGCTCGGGGAGGGTTTTTTCTTTAGACAAATTTGACTTTTTAACTAGACACTTTTGACGGAACTCTTTTATATCATTCAAAAGGTATTGTTGTCCTGAGCTTAAAATTGAAAAGATAATTCACCAGTTATGGGGGTTTAAAGATTGCCATTTTGGCCAATTTGTGAAAATTAACGCGAGATATATTTCGCGCTATTAACGCGTAAGCAAGATTTAATCGGTTCTTTGAAATCGTTCCAAATTGGTTCAAGGAAGATTATATAACATAGTTGATTTGTTAATAGGAGCAAAAACCATCACTTTGTTCTGAATATGGTGGCATGTGAGATGTTTTCACAAAAAATCTCGAACTTTTTAGAAAAAAAGATAATTTTATTTTATTACTATTAAATTTTCCATGTTATTACTGCTCCATTGACCTTAAAAGGCAGTCGGAACATTCAGGGCTTCGCCCTGATACGAACAGTCTTGTTTTATTTGCTCTGAATTCAGCAAAAGTCAGTTGAAGCGTTCTGACGTTACTAATAAGATACGTCTTCAATTATGGTTTTACTAACTCTTTAGTTCGGTTATTGAAATAGAAAGCTTTGAAAATCGGAACAAAAAGTATCCACTCTTTCTGCCCCCCCCCCCCCCCCCCCGTTTTATAAGGACTCTCCTAAACGTTTCTTAGAGGAATTCATTTTCTGGGTAAGCTTGTCCATTGACGCGTGTAATGGGAAATAATCTAATTTATTTCAGCGCGCAACATTAACCTATAATTGCAGAAGCTGGTGCCATCTAAGACATGTTCTCATTTTACTTCTAATTTTACTTGATCATCTTAGAAAAACTATGTTCAAGTGAAAGGAAAAAACGCTGCCAAATTTGTTGGAACTTTTATTTAATTTGGCAGCGTTTTAACAAATTCTAAGTTGAAAACAATAAAAACAATATCCAAGGTAATGAAAAATTCTAAATCAATTTTGGGGGGAAAACTGTTTGGGATAACTGTTAGTTTTTTATTTTAAGTTCTCTCCATATTTGATTAATTTTGAAGCCGTTGAGCATCGATTGGAAGCACCAGCGGAATAAGGGAGTGGGGTGAAGGGCAGACGAACCACCCCCCCCCCCCCCCTCCTCCTCAGGGATTCGACCCCCAGCCGATCCAAAGGGTCCCCCCTTTGTACTATTTTGAGATATCCATTTTTGGCTGACTGACCTTGAAATTTTTCTAAAGGCGCCAATATATTCTAACTTTGAGGGGGAGCGCGCGCCAAAAAATTTCGATTTTTTTGGTCAAAAATTTCCAAAAAGTGCCTAAAAACGCCTTTTAGAAATTTGCCTCCGGCGCAGAAAATTTGGGTCTTTATAGTGGTTTCGGAGAGCTCGCAAAATCAATTTGGTCGACCTAAAAAAAAGGTTGACAAAATTTACGCCCCCCCCCCCCTCGAGAAATTCCCAGATCCGCGCCTATAGTCGGAACATTCTGTGCTATTTGCACAACAACCGGCAACCTTTTTAAATTTTGAATCTTGTTTGTTAAAGCTCCAAACTTTCCGTACCTTCAATATGAAAATGACTAAGCTAGAAATAGCTTTGAGGTCTTTGCTTTTGAACTGAGTCTCCGACGCATGTGACTTATCAATATCCGGATCGTATCGGGGCAGGCGATGTCTGGGACATGGCACCATACGGAACAGCTGAGGCACCGAGTAGACGAAGTTTACTATTTGAGGAATGAACATCAGCAACAGGGTCTTGCTGAAATGCCCCAATATTCCAACTACTGCGAAGAGCATGCCTGAAACATTAATGACGTTTACAGTACCATGCTTCATAGGCACAGTTTTGGAAATATGTAGTTTCCATGTACAACTAATATTCAAAAATCAAGTACTTCTGTAATCTTATGCAATATTGTAAACATAGCCAATCGAAGATTGAAAAAGAATAATGAACGCAGCAATGTACATATAAAAACACTGACTTTCTTGAAAAAATCTCAACTTTCGAATTTCAAAAAAAACCAGATGCCCTTTAAACTCTTTGAATTTCTAGAACAATTTATGATCAGCGATTTTGTGATAACATGAACCCAACTAGAGAAAACTGAGCGATTTTTTTTTTCGAGCGATTTCCACGTTCGTATTTGGAGAGTGCTATTTAAGTCACTTTCAGTAGACGAATTTCACTTGAACTCATAATCCATATATACCAAATAAATGCATCAATATGTATGAATGCACATCTGCAGTTATTAGAGACCTTTAAGACTTTTCTGCAGTTATTAGAGACTTTTAAGACATTTCCTGCAAGACCTAGAAAAAAAAGCAACCTATATAAAGAGTCTTGACTACGTTCATTGCTCTTAACCATATGCAAGACAACTTAAAAAAATAGTCACCAGTGATCATAAGCCAAAAAGTCTAAAATATCGCTTTGCACTAGGTTAAAATAAGGATCATAGCCAAAATATAACTTGACTTTAAGTTTAAAAGTGGATTTTTTTGTAGGTTTACCTGTGCTATTTTCTCGGAAGGTTTTTCAAATTTAGGTAATTAATCAAAAAATCATATCGTAAAATGTTATTTTCGCTTTTATTTTGAATTTTATTGAATTCATTACCTTTTATCTAATACATTTGTTGATTAATAACCTAAATTTGAAAAACCTTCTTTTGAGAAAATTGCACCGGGAAACCTAAATAAAAATCCACTTTTCAACTTCAAGTCAGGTTATATTTTCTCAGGTTAAGTCCACGGAACAGCCCAGTTGCAGTTATGTTTTTTGTAACGTAACGTTTTCACACAGAGGCGAAGACTTGAGAGAACACAAAAAGCAGCTCTATAGATAACAATTATAAAAATTAGAAATAAACCTCAAATTAATTACAGTTCGGCTACCTCTGAGATTCAAACTTGCGACCTAGAGATTAAGAGTCTCACACACTAACCAACCAGCCTTGGGAAGCTTAAAAGGCACAAAACACAAGCCACATACAAAGCAGAGAACAGATGCTATGCAATTTCCAATGCTACAATGAAATTTCCAAATAAGTGAACACTTTTAATGAACACTTGTAGTTGTCAATTACTTTAGAAAAAAAGAAGGTTCGTAATAATACACAAGCTGACAGTAAGTATAAGTAAGCATTCTTATCAAAACCATCAATTAGCTGACTGTTATTATCAAATGTTCTAGCAAAGTGTCTAATCGACTTTCGGTTACAAACACTTTTGACCTTGTTCACTAGTTATCCATCCAAAGTTTTAGCTCTAATAATCCATTTTTTCGGCTGTTGTCGACTTTGCTACCTTTCCGCAATTTTTTTTTTCATTGCTAAATTAAAACTTACTTGCCTTGCTTACCATGTTTTTCTCAAAATGAACTTTTTCAACGGCAATTTGAGCAACAACAATTTCAAAACGAATACGATTTCTCACATGATATTTTATCCATTTGGGAAAGTTTTCACTTAAGAGTCATGTGATAATTCTGAATACTCATAAAACAATATGGCCTTAAAAATGTTTGAATTTCAAGAACAATTTATAATTCACTCTGTTCTTGATATGATTAACCCTATTTGAGAAAACTGGATCAATAGGTATTTTTTATTCCGCTGAGAAATCTGAGAATGCAACCAGACTTCAAAAGAAGAAGCCAATCACGTTTTTCGTGTCTTTAGCACTTTTGCTGTTCGATAACGAAATTGGCCTTCCATTCAATAAAGGAAATGAACTGAACTTGAAAAAGAATCTATCGCGAAAAATCAAATTTGAACGCGAAAATCAAAAAAATCATCAGGACATCTAGAAGAGTCTTAACAACATTCATTGGAACTTGAAAACATTCGAATATAATGGAAAAATGAAGACGAGTTGCTTCATAAAAGCATAGATTTGAGCGTAATTGGCAACGAACTTTTCTGAAGAAATCAATCAAAAAAAAATTAGGCAACGCAAACAAAAACAAGAAAACGACAAATAGTAGCTCGCACTAAAGCAAAAAAAAGTGGAGTAAGGAAGAAAAGCAAAAAGAAAAATTAAAAACCAAACTTTTGCTATGTGCCGGAATCAAACAACCGATCTAAAGATAATGAGCATCACCTCGTTACTTTTCCATCCTGAAAGAAAACAGTTTTTTTTGTTCTTATAAATACTTTAAAATCATTATATCATTTCATTTCAATGCCAACAAAACACTTGATGAAAACAATTGACCTTAATAAGTGAAAATTACCTTCACCAAGAGTTTATTTCGAAAAAATAGAGCTTGCAAGAATTGTCGCTTTTTCAACTCATTTATATAAAATTTTACGTGATTATAGGCTTTTTGTTTTTGAGCCGTTTGAGACCTACCTTTGAAACTTTTTGTTCACAAAATATGATAAGTTATCATAGTAAGTGTTCATCGTTTATTCACATATTAGCAACTTTCCGTGGCATGAAAACCCAATCAACCTCTATTGATTTCAACACCTGTTTGCTAAAAATTAATCTACCGCCGTTCGACAGGAATAAAAATAAGCAACTCACCGGCAAAGTAACAGTACGTGTCGCCCACAAAAACCTCGGCTGGGTACCAGTTATACCGAAGTAGAGCCAGTGAACATCCGAGAAAAGGAATGAGAAGATAGAGTGAGAGCAGATGGGCTTCCATTTGACAACATTGGAAATAGAGTTCCAGGCAGTTGAAGATGATGAGTGACGTTGCAATGACTACTGACTGGCCTACCTAAACCATGAGAAGTTTTCACTTCAACAAAAAGGCTAGGCGAAGAAGGTCTTGATACTAATTGCGCTACAAAAATATATTTCATTTTCCATATAGAACCCTAATCATAAAGCAAACTCAATTTACCATATTGTCACAAGTGCAGTAACAAACCAAGAAAGGAGCAAATTTCATAAAAGAGGCGAGACGCGCACGACTCGCAAAACAAAAATATATACCAGAGTTCAGGCAAAAAACACTTATACCTTATTACAACGACACTTTCTGATCCCAAATTAAGTAATACATATATAGCATCGTAAGATAGCGGAAACGAAATAGGCTGGGGGATATTATTCCGATAAAAAGTGTCAAAAACTAACAACACCTAAAAAATTTCATTGGTTTATTTGGATAGATTTATAATTTGAAATTTGAGAACTACATCTTCAGCGTTACAAGAAAAATTTATCGAGCGTTCATTCAGAAAAAATTATCGAGCGACAGCTAAGCATATAATACACGGGTACACATGGGTCAAGCCGAAATCATAACTTTTACCAAGAAAAATTTTTAGCCATGCATTTTGATGCTGAATTGAAACTACTATGGGTCTGTCGTCAAATTTGTTGAAATCGCAGGCGATAATGATTGGTACAATTGGCTGATTTGAGTAAATTTTCATGGGTTTCTAGTAAAGACTCGGCTGAAAAATCATCGGTCGGTGATAGACACAGCCAGCAAGGATGATCTTGTTCAGGCATTTTATATTGATAAATTTTCCTAACTGAACTGGAATTGATCTTTCTTATCCGATAAAAACTGAAAGAACATTACCCAATTTTTGTTTAAACTAGCAGGTGAAACATGACCTTTAGTCATTGGTTCGAGCAACTTTGCGCGGGTGATTTACCATATATATATTTAATCTGAATTACTACTGTAAATATCACTCAAATCTCATTAATTCGCTCCTTATTAATCAACAGCTTGACGCTGCAATAACCTTGATAGATTATGGACCTAGTGCCCACATACGAGTGAGAAGTCAGGAGTTAATATTTACTCTTTATTAAAACGAACGAACTGAGATTTGCTGTGGAGTTGTGACAGGAATAAGAAACAAAACTTGAGATAGACAACTAATCAGATAGAGAACTGCGAGAAGATGGAAACAGGGCAACACAACTTGAAGAGATAGACAAGTTTGACGATAGAAGCAGGGCAACACAACTAGAATCGAAGACAGGGCTTTCACTGGATTCATCAAAAGAATAGAGTTGAAAAAATGGGAGTCAAAAGCAGCACAAAGGTGCGCTGAGTGAGCACAGCGTTGGAAGAAGCACAACGCAGAGATTTATAGTGAAAGAAAAACTGAAACAAACTCATAAATTACAGGCAGTGTTTGTAAAAGTTGCCAACTTATACTCATTTTTTGCCGAATAAATTCGCTCCTACGCGGTTGGTCAAGTTTGACACAAAAAAAAATTGAAAGAAAGCATTGCCCCAAGAGGAAAAGAAACAGACACCAAAAAAAAAACGAATTTCTATATTGCTAATAAATATATATAGTACTAGTATGAACTCTGAGGAGTGCCCTTAGCTTTGGTAATTTGCTGATGTGTTATTCGGTACGCAGACAGTTAGGTTCCGAACCGGATTTAGGTAATCAAATATACTTGCATAGTTATATATGCGGGCGATATTGTTGAATAAAACGTATGATTTTGATTTAAAAGAAAACCGGGCCATTGGGTTTTATATAGGGCAATACTTAGCTTATTGAATCTTGATGAAAGCTCAACCTGTGTAAGAATGAAGTAGGGTATAAGAACTTAGATCAGGAAATAAATATCAAAAACCGATAGTTTTTCGGGAAAAGAAGAAGTTTTCTTCTTTGAAAAAGTTCAAGGCACGAACTTTTCACTTGAAATAAGATCTTAGATGAGACATTTGATTATCGAAACTTTATGCCAAATTTACGACCGAATGCGAGCTGTGATCAAAAACTAACTGCAAGAAATAAAGGAAAAAAGACTTTTGAGGAAAAACAGTTGGTTATCTAGTACAAACTCGTGCAGGCTCTAGTTAAGAAATCAGTTTTGTTCAGATCTTACAAAGGCAACGTTAGCAAAGCTTGGAATGTTTTATGGAAGAGATTTAGGAGTTTAGAAAACTGTAAAAACTAATCTCCCAAATTCCGACTTTGAGAAAGAATAGCAATGAAACAGTTGACTCGAGCAAAGGACATTCCGTATTACAAAGAACAAGTGAACAAAGAAGTGAGTAAAGAAGAGATAAATTCAATTATTTCAAAAGGGCTTCGAAAACAATTTGAACATTTTTCAACATTGCAAAACTTAGAGATGAGAAAAGCATAGATGAGCTGAAAAGAGATTTGGTGAACTTTGATAGCTAGAGCCAAATCAATAAAAAAAGAGCAGGCTTTTAAAAGCGAAACAGAGTTTGTAGTAAATTTCGGAAGAGACAGACAATGTCGAAACTGCACAGAAAATTTGAGCAGCACACGAGCTAATGTAGACAATGACCGAAAAACTAAATGAACTAAGACTAAATGAGAACAGAACCTAGCAGCTGAAACAGGGTCTCATTTTTAGTTTTCTAGGTGGACTGTCTCCGTGCGAGGACTTAGTAGTAGACTTTGGAGCTACTTGTAATATGATTAAGGATCAAGAGATATTTGTTAGGTTAGATGAGAACTGAATCAGAAATAATCGGAAAGGGTGGAGTGATGGTCAGAGTAGAAGACCAGAAAGGCGAATTTAAGATTATTGAACTGAAGGATACTTTGTACATTCCTGAAAAGTCGAGAAAGTTGATAGCGTATCAAATATGAAGAAAGCAGGAGCAGAAGTTGTTTCTGGTGCGAGCTCGTTTTTTCGTCAGGAAAACTGTTCAGTTACCCATTAAGAGAGGAAGGTGGTCTCTATTTGTGGGACTCTTTTTGGGAAAAGACGAGTGCTATGTGTTCAGCACATTGAAACAGTGGCATTGTAGGATGAGTCATAACAACTAAAGACTGAGTCATTTAGAACAACGGGTTGAAAGCATAAAATTAAGTGATTTTAAATTGGAGAATTATGAAGCTTGTAGTTGAATGAAGCAAAAAGGAAGCCAGTCCCGCCAGCGAAATCAGGACACTAGATCACTAGATAAGGTTCACACAGACATTTTAGGTTCTATTGACCCGATAGCCGTGGATGATCATAGATATGCTATAGGTTTTGTAGACAGTTTTTCTGGTACGTAAAATTACTTCATCAAGACGAGATGAGGCAACAGAAAAGCTGGAAAAGTTTACAGCAGATATTGCAATTCCTCAGACTTTTTACACCCTCAAAAGAAGGTAAAGACAGAAAAGGTGTGGTGAACAATTACTCCAATGGCTCGCTACATGATTTGATGACAATTTATCGATAACTTACTGGCCTTATGCACTTAATATGGCTATCAATCTCAAAAACATGTGCTTACATTCTGCTATAGGCAAAGCACCCTACGAGTATGTAAGAAGAAAAACCCAGCCTGATTTTGTGAAAACTTTTCGATGTGTAGCGTTTAGTTTTGTGGAAAAACAGTTTCGCATAAAAAACTAGATGAAAACTCGATAAGGGGAATTTTCTTGAGGACATAGGAAAACAGAGAACTCATCTGAAAGGAATTGAGAATGAAGGAAACACAAATTGCAAAAGTCTACAAATGTTAATTTTGAAAAATCTAAGTTGCATTTTGAAAAAAAAAGATAGCGACGAACAAGCAATATATTATGTAGTAATTTTCCGAGAAGTACTCAAAATTTACCAAAAAATGTTATGAAGGCTTTGGCAGACGACCCTGACTGGCATGAAGCAATGAGAAAAGAGTTTTTGAATCACTAGATAAAAACAAACTTTGGGAACTAGCTAGTTAAGATTATAGGAGAGAAACCTACAGGCAGCAGATAGCATTTTGCTAAGAACGGACCTAATGGAGAAAGTTCTTGGTTAAAGGTTAAATTTGGTGCTAAAGGCTTTCGCCAAGTTGAGGCAAGGGGTTTCCACAAACTTTCTCGCCTACTACTAAAATTTTGATTATAAGAACAGTTCTAAGCTTAGCAGTTCCAAATATGTTTGAGTTGTTCAGGAAGTTTGAATTTAAAACTGCATGCTTAAATGCCAAATTAGATGAAGAAGTATTTATAAAGCAAGCTGAAAGATTCGAGCACTTTAATTTGCCTCCTGAAGAAAAGTCTTGATGGGCTAAAGCAGTCCGGTAGGAACTGGCATAGGACTCTTAAATGATATCTTGAGGAAAAAGGATTTGAAAATTCAGTCCTTGACGACCAGTGTGACTATCCAGGACTTGTTGGCTACCTAAGTTACTAAGCTTTGGCAAGTATGCCCGAAATTCGCTTTGCAGCAAATTTGTTACTTCTTTTGTGGAAAACCCATTGCAAAGCTGGAAGATATCTGCTAGGAACAAAATGTTCATCTTTTGTCTATAGGAGGGATAAGGTCTTGAAACTTGTTAGTTATTCGGATGCGGACTGGGCTGGAAATGTAGACAATAGGAAAAGTACTTCAAGAGATGGTTTCAAGCTAAGTGACGGCCTTTAGTAATTGGATCGAGCAACTTTGTGCGGGTGATTTAACGTATATATTTGATCTGAATTACTACTGGAGTTATCACTCTAACCTCATTATTACACTGTTTATTAATGAACCGATTGTCGCTGCAATAACCTTGATATTCTATATTTATCCACTGTGGCTCAGCAATGGTTGGGTTTAACGTTGGATTATTATCAGGCAAAATCCGGGGTTTCTACATAATCAGGAAGTGAAAAAAAAAACAAATAAGATGAAAAGATTTTTAAAAGTTAGTTATACTGAAAACAGCAAGAAAAACTCATGCCGTGGTAATTAATGGGGCTTCATTTTTGTACAAAGAAAAAATTTTTGAGTTTGAATAAAGAAGCAGGTACGTTTGAAGTCCCAGAATCAGTACGAAAAGTTCAACAATTCTGTGAGACAGTTATTTATATCAAAAAGTAAGGGTTCCAATTTTATAATGCTTGCTTATCACAAATAAACAAAAGACCAGAACTTTGAGCAAGCTACGGTTTTTTTAACTGGAAAACTACCAAAAAACTTAGCATTGTACATTTGAACATAAAGGAGAAACAGAGCTTTGCACCGCTTGAGAAACAAAATAGAATGGCTATCTCTTCTTGCAGATCAACCGACAAATCCGAAAATAAAAAAGTTTGTCTAAAAAAATTATAAAAATTGCAAAATGTAAAATCTTGAAACTGATTTACCTGAGCCTTTAGAAATGTTACAAGCAGAGGTCGTGCTTCGATTTACTTGCGATGCAGCACATACATAGCATGAAAAACTAACCGACAGAGATAAATATGAAAGCTGTAGAATTGTTTTTTGAAAATGTCGAGAAAAGCTAGATCTACCAAAATTATGCCACTAGCCCATTGAGTAAAAATGGTTTAAAAACATTTCAGCCAGGTAAATAAAAACAATGAAAACGAAATTATAGCGAACCGGAGCTAGTAAAGTTATAATCATTATGAACACAAACGTTGGAGAGAGCGGGTACTTGAAATGCAAGACATACTCGGTTGGTTGACGAAAGTGTAGATTTGAGAAAATGATGCTGCGATTTTGTTGGACAAGTTTTTTTTACAAGAATAAGACTATGTTCCGGACGGATAAGGCGTGCTAGTCTCGAGCACAATCATCGCATACGTAACAATTCAGTGCACATTAATAAACGGAGCTAAAAATCAAAAAAACTTTTATTAAAATTTTTTCAAAAAGGCTAAATCTCCGCAAAAAAACCTTGTAGATCAATTACCTCTACCAAGAAATGGCATTTAGGCATTTACAAGAAAGCTAAGTCTTCAAAAGAAGTCCGTGCTACGGGATCTAAGCCGACAAAAATTAAGTCCGAAAAAGCAGACAATTTCTCTAGTTTGACGAGGTCGCGGCCGGAACCCAACCTCAAGCTATTGTCGACTCAAGCCGGCGTTTTACCTCTACGCCAGATGCTTTGTGTGGTAGCTTGATGATTTTGAATTTAAAATGAAGGAAGATGAAAAATTAACAAATTTTATGAACGAAGTTAGGGGGGAAAAGTCTAGTACTCGGTTGCAACACCCTTGCTTGTCGGAAGGGCGAAAAATACTCGTGCTTATAAAGTAATATCATACTAAAGTATATCCTACCTCAAGACCGTTAATTCCAGCCAAAATATTTATAGAGTTTGAACAAAACACAGCGAGGGATCCCATATAAAGGTAATATAAAATACCAATATCAACGGTTGTTCCAAAGTAAGGCCTCAAAGGAATAGGAACAACAATTACAGTCAGGTGATATGTAACATAGTAAACCATAAGAAGAGGTAATGAGGCAACAGTGGGAAGAAATACTTTGTCTCGCCAACGTAGATCAAAAATATCGTCACTCATTCCGAGGAAAATTGTGCAACAAATAGAGAGAATTCCAGCAATTTGGCTGATAAAACGTTTGAAGACTTCTGGTTCCTCAGTCTGAAACATAAAACAATGCAATCTATAAGTTCTAGAATAACATACTTGAATTTTTTTTTCAAAAGAATTACCATTGCTGTACAAGTAGAACCAAAAGTTCCGATCACAAATTTTCAAAATTTTTCTATTTTTCTCATTTGGTGGTTTCTTATTGGTCGAGATGTGATGAGAGGATTTGAGACTAAAAATTTGGCATAGTTGAAAAGGCTTTAATATAATATATCACTCCACTTACTCCGATGATGACTTGAGGTACTTGATTTTGCATGGACAGCAAAAAATTTAAAAAAAATAAAACTGGTACATACCGCAAGATAAAGATTATCCTCACCCCCCACCGCCCTTACAGTTGCCGACCGGAACAACAATTGTGATTTATTTCTTGATATGTTTATTTATATGTTTATATGCTTAAAATTTGCATTGAAAAATTTGACAATTATTTTAAGTATAATTTGACTTACACTTGTACATTTGAAAATACTTTCAACTGACAAATAAAGTGTTTTTATATTTCAATATTTAATGCTCTTTTCAATATAAAATGCTTTTTTAGTCGTTTCATAAACCACCTTAAATAGGATCATTCCTCTTCAGATTTGTAAGAAAAAAATATTGCCGATTAAATTATTCTTTAATCATTCCGATTTAGAAATTAATCTGAAGCAAATTATTTTGATTTACCTCAAAAGCAATGTCGTTGATGAACGGTAGAGGGATGAACAAAAACAGTAACACAAGATAAACGCCAGCCACCAAAATTCCAAGTGCTTCAGGAATGATGGGATTATCTTTCTTAGCCATATCTTTTCCTCGCAATCCAGCCTTGATGAATGCTCCTTTTGATCGAGGAATCAGTAAAACTAGCGAAAAATATCCAATAAAAGAAAACACAACTGATGATACCAGAGGGATCCATTGCGTTTGCACCCCGAGCTGAACCATTCTAGACTTGAAAAAAAAAACAGCTTATAATTAACAGACAAAAACTAAGTGATAATTGCCTTCGCCCATCGCCAATTATACAGTGGGTTCTAGACCATCGCCAAGATAAGGTGGTTATGTAAAAGTGAATATTGGTTCGATTGTGTTTTGAACTGCCTCCGGTTCTGATAAATAGAACAGGGCTGGGTAAAAATATTTTGTATTGCAATAGTATTTAATATACTGCAATATTCCAAGTGAAAATACAATTTTTTCTGGAAAACTATTGCATTATCCAATTTTTCAAACAAACTATTGCACTATTTTTTGCAGAAAAGAAACTATTGTGCAATAGTTGCCAGTCCTCTTTAATGACGTAATATATCAGCGAGCGCACACTAGGTTCTTAAGTAAATAGACTACAGAGTGTGTTATTTACTCTGTTTCAGTTAACTGTTGGACTGTTTATAAATACGTTACAAGCAAACCACATCCTTATCCTATCCACTACGTCTCTTATTTTTACAAAAAAAGGTTGTTGCAACAGGGGACCGACCTTTTACCAGACCGACCTCTTACCAGAAAAGTTACAACATGGACCTTTTACCAGACTCGATAAACAAACTTGACGCCGTTTAGTCTGGTTAAAGACAATGATTTCACAGTTTCTCAGCAAATTGTTGTTCGTTCTAACGCTTCCTTTTCGAATCGTCCAGTAATTTAAATTTAACTTTGGTAAAAGGTCGGTCTGGTAAAAGACTTTGCCCCGTTGCAACATTTTTTACAAAAGAATCTCCTGCAGTGTGGCAAAAAAAAAGAAAGAGAACTCCAATCTCACAGATCGTTTAATCCACTCTCATCCTAACTGAAAAAAAAGGAATTATTTGAGGTACAGATGGTAACAATTGATACACTTTTAGTGTCCAAAAAGCACAGAATATTGTAACATTCGCCCGGAAGTTGCAACATTCGCCCAAATACTACACAGCGACGGAGCGTAGAAAAAGTACCTATTAACGACTGGCAGGCGTCAGTTACCTTAATTATACTCGTTTTTCACCGTCTCGACCTTGCCAGTTGATTTTCTGGTCTGTTTAGGGCTAAGTAAAAAGTTACTATTTTTAGGCCATCAGTCAAACGACTTTTGATCAGCTTTCGTTTACATGCGAACACAACCACATAGCAACCACTTAAAAACATTCTGAAATCGGAACAAATTTACGGCCTGAGCTTAAACACTGAGAAGTGTGAACTTTGTTTTTTTGGGACCGACTACTAGTACACAGTATAATTCAATTTTAACACAATTTCGAAAAATATGCCCTAAAATAAAAATAAAAACAAAAGAAGAACTCCTCATTTTAGGATCTCCAATCGGCGAACTTTGCCGAAAAGAATTGCTCGACGAAAAAATTAAGGAGCTAGAAAAAATCTCGGATGTCATTGACAAACTAGACGCCCTGTAACATTCGCCCGGAAGATACATATCGACGGATAACAAAACTAAGTCTTAAGACGACTGGCTAGCGTCTAAACAGAGCTTTGCATGTTTTTCACCGTCTCTACCAAGCCAGTACTTTTCGGTGGTCT